GGGTGGTGGCCGGGGGGGTGCGGCTGGCCTGGGGTGGGGGGGGGGGACGGTCCGCCCGGCCGCCAGCCAGCCAGCCACCACCTCCGCACTTTCTGCTTCCTGGCTCGGCTGGCGGCCGGCAGGGCGCGGCTGGGCTGAGCTGGGGGGGGGAGGACGGCTTGCCCGCCCACCCGTCAGCGCCTCCGTGCTTCCTGCTCCCTGGGTGACTCTCCTCCCAGCCTGCCCCCGGCGGAGAGGTCTCCAGGCCCTGCCGGGAGGTTGGCATCTGCGCTCACCTAGAGCGCAGGACAACCTCGGGCCGGCCCTGCATGTAGCTGCCCAGTTACAAGAGCTGGCCAGTCTTTTGTCCCATTGAAAAGGGGGAGAATCCTTTGATAATGTTATGCTCCTTTTCCATTGGACAAAACATGGGCTAGCTCTCATCAGTGGGCAACTACCAATGCAGAGTTGCCCTAAGTCAAAAGGGCACCTGTCACACACCTACAATATGAATTCTGTAGTCCTCTTAATTGTTCATTTTTGCATAATGGTTTTTACTACAGTTTCTTTCATTTTTGGAAGTACTGAATGAATAATGACCAACTGATAGTTCCCCCATTAAATGCCATATTTAAAAAAATTGTTATAGCCAGTAGTTTTTTTCATATCAGAAAGCATGCAAACGTGCAAACAAAATTTTGTTTTGCAATGCATAAAGTTTCTTCATAGCATTTTATCAACTTTCCCAGGTAGTGAAAGTAAAGCAAAAGTAAATATACAAAGTTCAAAGCCCTTTTTGCTGATACAAAGAAAATACTCCCTTTTAAACTACTAAATACACAACATTCAGTAGGTGCTAAGAAGTTCTACACTACTGATATTTTTTACCATCCACACATGTCTTCAGTTGTACTCACTAGCCCTAAAGGGGTAAGCTACAACCACAAAGCAATTCTATTTTCCTGATGCAATAACTAGTAAAAACTGCTGATTACCGAGAACACGATGAATTTCCATCTTCTACCCACTCTAAAAATTATTTGCATGATTTTTATAGGAAATCTATATGACTAAAATACTCTAAAGTAGATTTCATTAGGAAATGCTTTGGGATTCCTAAATTTCCCAAGTCTTTATGAACATATATGACAATGGATTCAGCAGCATACAGAATGTTAGTATCACTAAAAAACAACCACAAAAACCATCTCTGTTTTGATAGGACTGTCATTTATATGCAATTTACTAATTTAGCTGAGCGAGCTTGATTTCAAAAGCCTTTGATTAAACAGACATCAACAGAAAGAGTAAGGCAGCAGCAAGAGAATTTATGAATAATCTGTGCAGCATGTGACCGTGCAGATTTTGTTTAGCAACTCTGCTACTAGCATACACAGAAGCAGATCTGCTGAATATCTGGACTCTTAGGCAATTCATATAATTACATATGAATTCTGACACTCTGAAAGACACTGTCTGAATTAAATGCTTCAACTGGTTCAGTATCAAAGTGCCTTTTTGAGGGGACAGCTAATCATATTGTGGCCGAGTTCATATATACCATATGTTATACATATTTTCCTATAAAGAAAAACCAGAGAGCTGTGGCAAGATTCACTAGAATGCTGGAGAGGAGACAAGAACATTTCTCAGGAATAGTACTGAGGAAATCATATTTCTCAATAGCAAACAAGGAGAGATGAAAAAGTGGCTCAATGAACATTGTTTAAGTAATCGAAAAATCACATTTCTGAAAGAATATGAATTGCAAATGATAACTTAACAAGAATGTTTTTTGCAATCCTTAAACTGTCCCTTAGAATAACTGCTTCCAATGCGAAGTTTGAGACTAGTGGCATGTTTAAGACCAACAAAGTTTTATTCAAGGTATACGCTTTCGTGTGCATGCACGCTTCTTCACATATAATGAAATGGAAATAACCAGTCCATACATATCAGTAGAGGGTGAGCAGTAAATTAGCATACAGCATAATGAAGATGTTTAACAGCGTAAAGGACCAAATGGGCATAACAAGCTTAGTATATAAGGTTCCCATTTGTTTGGGTTTAATTCCAGGGGGGGGGACACTATGTTTTCTCCTGGAATTAAACCCAAACATTGTATTTTCCTCCAGAATTAAACCCTTGGTCTTTGAATCTGCTAAACACCTTCCTTATGTGTATGCTAATTTACTGCTCACCCTCTACCTATATGTATGGACTGGTAATTTCCATTTCATTGTATCTGAAGAAATGTGCATGCACACAAAAGCTTATACCTTGAATAAAACTTTGTTGGTCTTCAAGGTGCTACTGGACTCAAACTTTGTTCTGCTGTTTCAGACCAACATGGCTACCCACCTGAATCTATTTACCATTCACAGTGCACACATCTTTTTCATACTTACAGACAGAAGCAACATTGAGTGATCCCTAACATAATGCCCGTGGATACCACAGTACTGGGCAATGGGTTTGCTGTTGCCCATTTCTTCTTCCCCAAAACATCTCTTCCTCAAAGCAGAGCCAATCATAGGTTTCCTCCACCTCACTGGATCAGAAGAACCTAGAAAGACCTAGCTTCATAGTAAGAAGATGCTTGGCTTGCAACTTCCCATCATTTTATGATTATCCCAAGAACCCCATGTCAGCCGTTTTCTGATTGGCCCCATCCCTCCATGTCAGCCATTTCGTGAGCGCAGGAAAGAGAAACAAAATCATCACCAAACATACACAAGTTAGCAAAGGCAAAAGGGTATTATATTTGTCAAGGTTTGGTGTGTATGTTCTGCTTCACGAGGGAGTAACATGGATGTTGGAACATGGATGTTTCCCACACAAATGGGTCTCCTCGCTCCTGCATTCTATTCCTTCATGGCTTTCTTTAGTTTCTGCAATGATATTTTCAGTCTGAGGAGCAAACCCGAAGTTCTGCACCTTGGACTGAAAATACCACTGCGGAAACGAGTGAAAGAGGTAGTGGAATACAAATGCAGGAGTGGGGAGAAAACGTCATGAAGTATCCTTGCTATGTGGAAGTGGCCTAACAGTGAAAACAATGTTTAAGTGGCTAGAATAAGCCAATGGTGTTTTTTTTGCCTTTTACAGCAGAAAACACATTTTCTAGGCTCACTCACACAGTAAAGCCAACTTGGTCCCTAAAATATAGATTAATAAACTGCTATGCGTTTGTTTTATTCACTTTGAAAATTAACAAGCGAGCATGAGCATTTTATACTGCAACAATAATGCCTTGAAGCAAAATGAAAGTCTAAGAATGCCAGATCTGACCTCTCTTTCAAATCCCAACTGTATGCTCTGCCAGCCACAGTTTATTGTGGGAACATTTTTTAAAAAATTTAAATGCTCAGTCAATCTTCTGATCTTTTAGATTACTTAAACATACTGAAAAGAAAAGCAGATGTGTGTGTCAGTTTCCCAGCCCTTAGCTTCAACCCGTCTGACTTAACAATTTTCATCCATTTTGGACGACACTGGGTGACATTTAAAGGAAACCCAATTTTATTACAATATGTATTACAATACATTCACATTTCCCATAATTATAACAGCTAGTAAAATATATAGTTGGAAGCAACTACATTCAATGTCTTTGCTCCCCTTAAGTGAAAACTTTCAGTTACTTTCCTATGAATTCAGGTATCAACTCTCATACCCATAGATGGCTGCTGATTGCCACATTGTGAGAATTATGATCATGTTAGTGACTACCCTGCAAGGACTTGCAGGTGGTAATTTCCTTTGCCCCTCTATCCCCTTCCCTACA